TTGACGGCGACATCGCCGACGCCGTCGCCGCCGCGTTGGGCCATCTGGTGTATTAATCTCAAGTGCTATAGTGTAATCATCGATACAGCCATCTGGCACACAATGTTTCGAACTAANGTGTAATCATCAATACAGCCATCTGGCACACAATGTTTCGAACTAATTTTTTTTTCACAAATTAGGTAAAATTAACATTTTACGTATGGACTTTATCTAAATGTGTGCATGTCGCATATCAAAATAGCGGATTCGACGTTTAAAATTCGTACTTTTCACCTTAACCGTATAGCTTACCTGGAAAATGAATTTTTTTTTTTTTCCCAAAAAACCGATATTATGTATTTATGACCGAGCATAATTTAGACGCGTGACAGGTTGTGTTAGTTTACGTCGTGTTTCATCCCCCCTCCTCCTATAGGTTTGTTTACCTTTAGTTTCATTACCCCTCTCTCATAAGACTTGGTGGAGGAAGAGAGGTTCCTTACCTGATTTATGTTAGTTTACGTTGGATTCACTTCCTCCACCCTAAGACTTGGTAGAGGAGGAGAGGTTCCTCACCTGACTTAGGTTAGTTTACGTTGGATTTACTTCCCCCACCCTAAGACTTGTCAGAGGAGGTTCTTCTTAGGTTAGTTTATGTTGGGTTACATCATCTTTCCCCCTCCTATTGCATTATGTTAGTTTACGTTGGATTTATACCCCCTCCACCCCTCTTCCCATACACAACGGAGGTAGGGTGGGTGGGTGAAGCGGGGGGGAACCAGAACTCTCTATTTCACCCTACTACTATAGTAATTAACCTGTAATACATATTTATTGTACAACACACACGTGGGCCTTCTTATGTGAGTACCCAAATGGTGAGATGGGTGGGAGAAGTAGCGAGTCCCTTTTTTACACTATTATCAACAGTTAACTAATATAAAACTTGGTAATATAATTATATAGATAAAATTAATCTTGGAACTAAATAGTTTTGGAGGGAGATCCTTTTTAGCATAAAAACTAAATAGTAATTGAATCGGTAATAGACTTATGAACTACTCCCAATTTGTTTTTATTTCATATATAATTACCGTTAAAAATGAGTCATCAATAAGTGACCCATGAATATGTAAGTGTTGAATGCTCCAAATAAAGTATTGATAAAGGATCCACATTCTACTCTAATATTTAGCTAATAAGTTAGCTTTGTATCATTTTTATAAGACCGGGCAAGTTAATTGTTATAAACAAAGATTAGTGAGTTCTTACACAATACTAAATCTACTAAAACAATTTACGGATTCAAATCCAAAATGCTCTATGTGTAATTATGTAATTTTTCAGGACAGCAAATTTAAATATATTCGAATATTATTCATCTTAAAATTATTCGATTTAAAAGTACAAATAATAAATTTTATATTCAAACTATATCACCAGTTAACTAAAATGGAACTTGGTAATCAAATAATATTGATAAAATTAATCTTGGAACTAAATAGTTCTGGAGGGAGAATATTTTAGCACAAAATCTAAAAATAAAAACTTGAATCTTTTTACTAAAAAATAAAAAAGTATATTACCACAAAGAAAAATTTGTTCCTAATAAGGTGTTTTTTGACTGTAGATAGAAGCTTTATATTTTAAAATTAAAAAAATTAAATATAGTACTATCTAAGGTTTTCCATAGTATATACTCACATAGAACATTTTGGATCTACGCACCAATTTATATAAAAGGATATATAACGAATTGTTATATATCCTTTTACTAAATATAAACAATTTAAACAAAAGTATGTGGTTTTAATTAGATTTTTTATATGTTTAAGTTTTAAATTCTATTCATTTTATCTTTAATATTTTGTATCCATTGTTTAAATTTGGTTATTGCTTAGTTGTGTATTCTTTAATACTGACAATATCGAATAACACGTTTTTATAGCCTGGAAATTTATATAATGAAATAATAATGGTAAAAGTTTATAAATATATAATGATTTTTTAACTTACACCTACAAACATAATTAAATCCACGGTTTTATTTCTAGTTATATTCATTTTTGATTGATGAGCACTAATCATTTTCATAGTTAGTAAAACAAGCCTTTTATTTTCTATGTTAATTTCTGTCCAATACGAATTATAAATTCCAAATAGCATTGATTCTTTCTAAAAAAAATAATCAAAAAATAATTTATTTATTAATGTTTATGTTTGAACATCACTTCTTAAAAACTACTTCTTTTTCCAGAGGCTATATCAGTTTTCTTATAGAGTGAACCGCTAACTAAGCTTCACGTAATATTTTCAAAACTAATAGTGCTACAGTAACAATTTTTGATTTTTAAATGTAACCCATATTATTTTTATATATTCTTGTTTGTCATAAAAAAAAAAATTATTTATAGAAATTCTAAACGATATACGCTCATTTGAAATTCAAGCGATAAAAAAGAAATTACAGTAGTTCCTCCAAACAGTGATATTTTTATTTTATGTATCGATAAAAGAAACATGGAAAGCTTGGTGAGTTCATTGATTTGGCGCATAAAATTCAAACGCTATTATAATATATTAGTTATGATGGAAATTATTCACTTATAACCAAAAAAAATGTCTGTAGACATATAAAATTGAAAAATATTCCCTTATTCTCCGTAAATAGTAAAAATCCCCCAAAAATTACGATTTATAAAATCGTTCAATATTGACATTTTTTTCTCTAAAATTTGTCACAACTTGAAAAATCTTGAAAAAAATAACCAAAATATTTTTATTATAAAAACACCTTACATAATTCCTCTTCATTTGTTATATTTTTTTAATAATCTGAACATTTACCTGCACACAGGAGGGATTCAAATTAGCAACTTTTTTACAAAAGTCAACTATTTCAACTTAAGTTTTGATAATGTTCCGGAAAACTGCATCTTTTAAATATATGTTTTAAATTAAAGAAATGTTACGTACCATAAATTAAAAAAAAAAAATTCTCTTGACGTCTTATCTTGTACGTGCAAATGGCTACCTTAGTTAAAAACATACTATTTTTGTGTTCAAATTTTATTTTTATTTTGTTTATTTTAAAATACTTTATAAGATTTTCTCATAAAAATGAGTCAACCAATTGTCATAAAATTTACACGAATCTAACTTACATTAAATAAAACTTTATACTTTTTTTTTTTATTATTTTGCCTTCTCAAAGTTAAGAAAAGCTGTTTTAAATTTTAGAACTAGCTTAAATTGTCATTTTAGCTAATATTCGTATAATTCACGATGGCTGAGTCAAATATAATACAGATTTATACACTTGTATTACGAAGTGCGAACCCTGTTGGACAAATCAACTTTTTTTGCATATTTTCTTATTTTTTTTTTGAATTGGAAAAAATATTCAGAGTTCATTTGATTGTTATCTTATTTTTATTGCAACGCATATCCAAGTACCGTTCGGTGGCGATAAACACAACGCACACGGCAGAATACGGAAATCACAAATCAAGTAGCCAAAATCAATATCTTTTATATCATAGGGCAGTAGCCTGTTTATTCACTGTCTCACAACCACAGTAAAAACAAAATGATAATTATAATAATAAATAAGTATAGATAAAGATATAGATTATAGATATCTAGATATAGATATGTAAATACGCTTTCCACAATCGCAAGAACTATCGTAGGTAATCAGTTAAGGTGAACGTAGTAACGAAACAGAACGCATCAGTAATACACAGGCAGCATCGACCTTGTAGCCATGTCAAGAGCGAGGAGATATCCGCTGACAACCGTTTGTCATATTGATAAGTGGACGACTGATATCGAGAGACACGAGTGAGCGCCAACCTAGAGCATTGCGCGGTGCCATGTCATTGGAATAACTTCAATGAATAATAAGAATCCCATCACTATAGTCTCCCCTTGTGAGAAAAACTTCTTAATCGTGTTAAAATATTTTACTATATAATTTTTTTTTTGTCTGTCTTTAACTTTTCTTATCTCTGACTTGACCAATAGATTTTTGCACGAAAAATAAAATTTTTCAATTAAATTTTTGAAAATGTTCCGGAAATACTGCGTTCTTTAAAAATATATTTAACTAAAGGTTATATTACGTACTATAAATTCAAAAAAAAATTATCCCTTACTTATTTTCTAAGCGCAAATAGCTGCCGTAGTTAAAAACATACTATTTTTGTGTCCAAATTTTTGATTTTATATTTTCAACCGTAAATTGCTATAACTTTTTCAAAAATGTATGGATCAACAAAACATTTTTTTTATAAATACCCCTTTTATACGACATACCTTTTTTAGCTTCGATGCGAAGCTGAAAAGGTATTGATTTTACTATGATGTGTTTTTTTTTTTTTTGTGTCTGTTACCACTTTTTCTCAACTCTCACTGAACCGAATTCTTTCAAAGATACGTCAAAAGATCACAAATCCTATCTAGACGAAGACATTACTCATGAAAATTGAAAAAATTNGATTTCTTTCAACGATACGTCAAAAGATCACAAATCGTATCTAGTCGAAGACATTACCCTTCAAAATTGAAAAAATTTCCCTCGTTCCCCGTAAATGGGGGAAACCTCCAAAAAAATTACAAATTTAAAAATCGCTAATTTTCGAAATATTTTCAATTTTTTTTACTAAAAACTGCCGTAACTTTTTCAAAAATGAACATCTCAATATAATTTTTTTTTTTTATAGATGCTTGATGTCTTTACCTATCATTGGGTAAATTTTTTTTGTAAATTTGACCCTTTATCTGCCCACAAGGGGGTTTTAAAATGACAACTTTTTCACAAAAAATTAACTTTTTCAACTTGACTTTTGAAAATGTTCCGGAAAGTCTGACACTTTTATATATATCTTAAATTAAAGCTAATGTAATATACTTTAGTTTGAAAAAAACAAATTTGACCACTGGACTTGTCATCATAGTGAAAATGGCTACCAAATGCTATTTTTATGTGAAAATTCTCCATTTTAATTTTCACATTTTTAACTTTATAATGCTATAACTTATTGAAAAGTGTATGGATCAACATATTTTTTTTATGAGAAATAATATTTTTTAATAATCCCTTTTTAATTTGACATACTTTATCTTAAATAGGATATTAATAAGGAACTAGCAGATCATGTAGAATTTGGAATAATCCACCAATTTTTTAAAATTAAACACTATCTAAAGATTTGCATCGAAGCGTTTTATTTTGATAGTGATTTTAATCATTGTCAGATATCATTATACTTGATCCAACTATGCCACGTCACAACTGTACCGCGACCCCCCTGTGCTGGGTTTTTTTAAATCTGAACATTTTTCCTCATATAAGAGGATTGACGATGTGCAATAAAAGTCATCAAATTATGCAGTGTAATTTTATGAAAAAATTATTATTTAATAAAAAATTGGGATAGTAAAATTATTAAATCATACTGTATATATTGTGACACCACTCTGAAAAATGTCTGTATTTTATAGTAGTTTCAAGTACTCCGTAATATATTTAGTACCCCTAAACGCGATGTAAGTTGTTGTTGAAAACAGGAACTTCTCATAACATCTGTGCGAGAATGGTACCCCCCATTTCTTTTGTTAAATAATGATTTTCTTTATAAAAATGTATAGATTAAAATTTAATAAAATTTTATAACCATTGCAAATATCAAATTATAAGACAAATAATGCCTAACCAATTTTGTACTATTATTTTTTGTGTTGTTATAATTTTTATTTATTAACGGAGTGCACAACGTAGATGAATTTTAATCTGTACATTATTGTAAAAATAGAGCGTCGTTAAACACTACACCACTCCTCAAATTTTCTTAATCTTGAAATGCTTTATCACAAAAATTAATTTTAAAAATCTGGTTATTGACAAGTTAAAACATTATTTAGACCATAGTTTATTTAATAAGAGAAAAATAATAATAGGTTCTTATTAAACTTTCAAAAATTACCCCTAAAATATTCCACTAGAAATCATTTTTTCTTACAATAAACTTAAAATTTTCTATAATTTTTAAAAATTAATAAAATTTTAATTTGTAATTTTTATGAAAATTTGGGGATAGTATCCTTATTAAATCACACCGTATATATTTTGACACCTCTTTGAAAAATTCCTGTATACCTCAGTTCTGTAAAGTATTCCGTAATATACGTATTATATTATATTATTATTATATTCGTATTTAATACACCAAACGCCATGTAAGGTGTTGCTGAAAACAGGAAATTCTCATAAAATCTTCTGTGCGAGATTAAATAGTTATTGTTTTGATTACAGAGCTTCACATTATGTAGAAATCTATGCGATGGTTTTAAGATTTCAACTTAGTTTCTTGATGTCTAGATAATATTGCACTACAACATTTTTAGACAGTTATAATTTACTGATTAATAATCTTAATACTTATTATTAATATTAAAATTCGATAATAATAGCTTAAGAGCGAAGAAATTAATCAAAGGCTAGAGGTGTGGAGATCAGCTCTTGAAGAAAAGGGTTTAAGAATAAGTAGGAGTAAGATAGAGTTTATAGAGTACGAGTTTGANAGAATAAGTAGGAGTAAGATAGAGTTTATAGAGTACAAGTTTGATAAAGGAGAACACGAGGTAGGTGAAATAAGGAGACCAGTGACAATAGGCGAGGACGTGATTAGAGAGGTGGAAAGTTTTAAATATTTAGGATCAGTTGTGCAAAAAAGCGGTGGTATTGACGAAGATGTAAGACATAGGATTAAGTGCGGGTGGTTGAAGTGGAGAGAAGCGTGTGGTGTCTTATTTGATAAAAGAATTCCAATGAGGCTGTAAGGTAAATTCTACAAGACTGTAGTGAGACCAGCTATGGTGTATGGTTCAGAGTGTTGGGTAGTTGACAGAGAAAGTAGAGCAGAGAATAAGTGTAGTAGAGATAAGAATGCTTAGATGAATGAGTGGAATGACTAGAGAAATTAGGATAAGGAACGAGCATATAAGAGGGAGTATAGGTGTAGCGTCAATCGTAGATAAAATGAGAGAAAATAGACTTAGATAGTTTGGTCATGTTACGAGGAGAAAGGAATCGAAAGCTATAATAGTTATAGAAATAAATATTAAAGGATGAAGACGTAGAGGAAGACAAAAAAAAAGACGGAGGGATGTTATTGAATGCGATATGAGGACAGCTGATGTGAGCGTAGCGGATGTGGGTGATCGTGTTAAGTAGAAGTTTAGGATAAGGGTGGCCGACCCCAGTAGTTGGGATTAGGGCGAGGAAGAAGAAGAAGAAGTTAATAATAGCTTCATAACTTAATTTTATTGTAATTTATTATTATATATTTCAATCAGTCAATTATATTTATGTGCGTTAAATAAAAAGATGTTCAACACTTTTCCTTGTTAACTTCAAATAAAAAAAAATTTATTTATATATTGTTTGTTATAAAAATTTAAATAGATACACAGCGCTGACATAACAATATACCATTAAGTTTAAATCAGCTTTGATAAAAATTGATTAGGTAATATTTGAAAAAAAATAGATTAATTTAAAATTAGAATTGTTTATAACTGAGAAAAATTTGTACCTACATCTTTGATAGTACATGTAGTAGATTATTCAACCAATTATTATGGCTCTACAAATATCACATACAAGTATAAGACATTGGAAAAAATTAAATTATAAATTATAAACCTATCCCAATTTATGACAATTAAATTTAGTTTAATTTTTTAAATCATGAATTCAAGTCAAATAGAGTGTTTCTCTGTAGGATTTTCTTCATTATTAAAAAAATGTTAATATTTAACATATGATTTGAGAATTAATTTAAACAACAATAATGATATAACAAACATTAACCTAACGATTTTGAAAATATGGTACTGCAAAGCAGAAAAATTTTAAGTTAAGTAATGAAACGTGTAATCAATTTCACTTACAAATTTGTATATATTTATATTTGTAGAAGATGAAATTTTAAATTAATTTAAATAGAATTTATTAAACAATTGCAGAGGAGTGATATTAATTAATTTGCACACAAGGATGCCTTAATAAAAAAAAAAACAAAAGTTCTAAATTAGAAACATGGCCTATTGAAAAGTCGAGTTGTTAAACACTTACAACGAATAGAAAAAAGCGGTAACAGTTTAATTTCAATAATTTTAGCCGCCTGAAGTATTTTTTATAAATATAGATCAATATATACTAACAAAATAACGTGATCTTGTGATTAAAGCTTTAACATTATTATTATTTTATTTTTTTAATAATCTACTTACCTTGTCATTTATAATGCCAAAAACGAAGCAAAGTATGAATAAATGAAAAACAAAAAATAATAATGCTGAAATAAGTTTAACAGTCTGTATCAAATTGACCATTCCGCCATTAATGTAGTTCTAATGAAATACAAAAAAATATTATTATTTCATTGTCATTAATATGTATAATTTTTTATTATGTAACTATTCTTTAATAGAGTACACTAACTAAAATATTCTGTTATCATGTATGATTTTTATCATAATCCAATGGAAAACTTAAGTACAAGAAATGTTTGGAATTTTATAATTGTTTTTTTTTAATACAATTTTTGGATGTTCCAAAACGACTGCATTCTTTAAATTTACATAAATAAAAATTGACAATTTTTTTTTAATAAAAATTATTTATTTAAATTATGTACAATTATCTTCACATATAATTGGAGTATAAAATTTGTTCTTATACTGAATCACGCAGAAAAACTGTATCACTGAAATTAAATATTTTTACGTCATACACGAAATTATACTTTGCTAACCCAAAAATTTGCGCTGATTTAAAATCTGAAATTAGATTTTTTCTACCACAACTTTTTTTTTGAGATTATTACTATTTAGTAAATACGAGTATTTAAATATAAAAATTGATCTTGAATTTTAATATGTTAAAAATAATCTAGGAAAAATTCAATTCAAAATGTCACTTTTAACCTATTTGCTGGTATTTTAAGATTTTCATGAAAGTTAATATAAAAAAATGTTGAAATTTAAACTTTTTTTTAGTTTATTAAATAGAAAATTTTATGAGGATCTTATATTAGAAGAGCGGCTAATATTATTTAAATAATAATCCTGTATACAAAAACTTTATAAATTTTTATAATTTTCTGTTAAAAATTACAATATTAAATTATTCAATATCAATTTCATATGAAATTTAATTACTGTAACAAATATTTAATTTATTTATTAAAAAGTTACTATTGCTTTACAAGCATTACTTCTTACCAACATTCCGGTGTATGAAAAAAGTACCAAATTAATAAATGTTACTACAATTTGGATCAAAATTATTTGTCGGAATGTGTCATAAAATTGCTTCATTTTTCTAAAAAATACAAAAATATTAAAACCACTTATATGTTCATTATTGCCTCTATGAATATAGCATCTTTCATTTGTGTAAATTATTTATTTATAATAATTTTTTATTGTTTGTGTATAAAGAAACAAAAATTCAGTTACAGATTGTAAGTAATTCAAAACAAATAAAATATCACAAATTTTATCAGATTTTTACTATACAGAGTTTCCATTCATTAGTAAATATCTTAATAGAGATTTTGATTTTTTTTTTACTCAATGTTCAGTTGAGATTTTATACAAATATTCTGCATAAATTGTTTATAAATTCGGGGCAGCTACCAATATTTATGTACGAATCGTTTTGTATTATCATTACAATATTAACATTTGTAATATCATGTGACTAAATTCTCAAATACTTTTATAGATGATGATAATTATCGCCACCATTAGGTAAAAAAATATATGTATGTAATTTGCACCAATTTTTTAACTAAAAAAAATGTATTCAACACTATATAAAACTCTACTATTAATAATTTTTTTTTCGCTAGATTTCCTGTACACGTACATTTTATCTTATTTTTAACTATAATATATCAACGTTACATATCTTAAATATATCGCTGCTTATATTATTTCACAGTGCGTACCTCAAAATTTGACAAATTGAGATTTTTATCAATAATAATAAAATAAGTATTTTTGTATAGTTATGACTGGAGAAAAGGCACAGTTATGACTATTTATTTCATAAGACTTTTCTCGTAATCATTATGCCTACCGTCAAGATATAAAAATTTTAATAACTTACAAAGAACTGGTCCAAAAGGTGTTATTGACCCATCATTAGCTAAATTAAGTGATTTTTTATTTTGTATACTAGTTAAATATTTATGTTTCCATCAAAAAAAAATAAAGTTGATAGCTTTATAAGTTACAATGGATTATTGATGAATGATTCAACGAAAATCTTGTGGAAAGAATAAACAGGATTATTTTAGAATAGGGACATGGAATGTGAAGAAAATTATTAAAACGGAAGGTGGAAGATGTAAAAAAACAAATGAAGATAGCAAAATTATACTTGAATAAGTTAAATAAGATGGGTAGGAAATGGTGATTTCATATCTGACGATTTTAGAATCATTCATAATGGAAATGGAAAAGAGGAAGAAACGGAGTGGCAGTGATATTATGAGGGAAGTGGAAATACACTTTACTAAACTCATACAACCTAAATGACAGATTTCTTATGGTGAAAATAGAAGCAAAGCCTACAAACATTTACATTATATAAGTATACCTTCCTTATATAGAAATACGGTTGATGAAACTGAAGAGACATACGAACAGATTGAAAAACTCATGCATCTAACATAATGCAACTCAAACGTTTTTATCATAGGCAATTTTAATGCCTCTATAGACTATGAAAGAAGTAACTTATCAGAATAATTTGGACTAGGAAAGAGAAACAAAAGAGGTACACATTGTTAGGACTTTGAAAACAACATGAACTAATAGTAACAAATATATACTTTGAAGTCTCGCTAAAGAGAAGATACACATGGAAAACGCCTGGATATAGAAGTCTATATCAAATAGACTTCATAGTTGTAAAAACTAAGTTCAGAAATCAAATCAAATCTAACTACGCCTACCCAGGATATGACATCGATAGTGGCCATAATCTTGTAATTAATGCAACATCAAATTTAAGAAAAGAACCAAAATAAAAAAAGAAGAAGAAATAGTGTATTGGAAAACTAAAAGACCAAAATATAACCGAAGAGTTCAAAAGGAATTTAGATGAACTTGATATAGGAGGAAAAAGCTGGGATAGTATGAAGATGGATATAATTAGAGCTGCAGATAAAATAATTGGTAAAAATAAAACAGAACTGAGGAAGCCATTTATTACTGGACAAATGATCCCAAATACTGACAATTGAGTTTGAGAAGTTTCTAGGACAATTGAGTGATAAAACAGCAACAGTAATTGACGATATCAATTCCTGTTGTCAATCAATCGCAGATTAACTATTTATCAAATATCCTTAAAGATATAAAGGTTAGAAAATATAATGTGGTAAATATTACAGAATATGAGATTATAAAATAGTAGCAAAACTTCTGTACAATAGTATATTCAAACACAATCACTTAATATTTTCATATCTCAAATAAATGTTGACACAAATTACACGCGCTCAATTATATTTCATATAATTCTTTATACAACCTTATGAAACTTGAACTATTTTTTTCGTTGATACTTTGAATTTTGCATCAATTAAGTAAAAAAATGTTAACCACAACGTAAAAACAACAGTCAAATTTAAAAATTTTATTAACAACATAAACAATTATACATGAAAAAGTAATCAACATTTTTCTCACGAAGTAAATTATTAATATTGACAGAGCATAAATGTTCTCTTCTTTTTCTTCTAATTCTTTGCCTTAATCCTCATTACTTGTGGTACGCCACCCTTATTCTAAACTTTCACTTGACATGATCTTCCACATCGTATATGCACACATCAGCCGTTCCATCTCTGCTCTATTCTCAAGTCAACCGCTCAACACTATGATCTTATTAAAACTATCTTATAGCATAACACACCAGACGCTTCTCTCCACTTTATCCACCCACAGCTTACCATGTGTCTTACATCCTCATCAATACCACCGTTCTTTTGCACAACTGTTCCTAAATATTTGAAATTTTCAATCTCTCCTATCACGTCCTCGCTTATTTTAACTGATCTCCTCATTTTACCTACCTCGTACTTTCCTTGGTCAAACTCATAATCTATATGCTCTGTCTTACTCCTACTTATACTTAATCCCTTTCCTTCAAGATCTGATCGCCACACTTTTAACCTTTGATTAATTTCTTATCTATATTTTTCTATAAACATTATATCGTCAGCAAAAACATGCACCACGGTATCTCTCCTTGTATTTCTCTAATAATCTAATAAATATTTAATCTTTCTATTATGGTCAATTGCACATAGTTAAATTTCCTCTATGTTAATTGGAGAGTATTCAGTTGAGCAATATCCTTATTTTTTTTTTTTTACTTGATAATCATTTTAGCTTTTATGCAAAACTGAGAAAGTATTAAATTTACTATGATGTGTTTTTTTTGTGTCTGTTTCCACCTTTTTTCAGCTCTCGCCGAACCGATTTCAATTCAACGATACGTCAAAAGATCACAATTCATATCTAGTCGAAGACATTACCCTCAAAAATTGAAAATATTTCCCTCGTTCCCTATAAATAGGGGAGATCTCCAAAAAAAAATTCAAATTTAATAATCGTTAAATCTCATTTTTTTTTTACTTAAAATTGCAATAACTTTTTTAAAAATGACTAAATCAATATAATTTTTTTATGAGAAATATTTATATCCCTCTCATTCAACATACTTTTTTTTAACATAACTGCATTTCCCTTTATATATTTATATATTATAAATATATATATATATATATTCATATATTACACTTATAAATCATAAAACTTGTAATCAGGATATAAATAAGGAAATAGGATATCATATAGCTTTTGGAATAGTCCATCAATTTTTTAAAATTAAACACTATCCAACATATACTTGACATTACTATGTCACATCCTCACTGTGCCGCGACCCCACTGTGCTGGGTTTTTAAATATATGAATTAAACGAAATATTCGACTTAAAGGTTTTAAATTTTTGGTACTGAAAAATGCATAAAACCTACCTAATAACATTTTGACTGTTGTAAATAATATTTTTCAAGTCAAATTTAATTTTCTTCTGATATACCTTAACATTGATACCTATTAAAAATAAGTTTAGTAAAGAAATACAGGTTTTTATAAAAGAAATTATCCAACTTATGAATAGGAATATATACAGGTGGCCCACCACTCACTGACAACTTAAATAACTTTTGATCCAGTTAATATTTTTAGCTGATTTTTTTTTTAAATATTAGTTAGACGTTAGGTCTATAGCTATATCTCAATAATTAATTTTTTTACATTTTATTAAAAATATTAATTATTTTAAAATTTTAAATAAAAAGTAAAAAAAGAATCTAAGATAGCTATTTTGTAGAGTAGAATTTAAGAAAAATTTTAGTAAAAAAATATCTTATTAATATTCAGTAGTAAATATTCTGTAGCGTTTTGAAGTTTGTAAAAATTTGAATTTTCATGTACTATTTTACGGTTATAAACATTGAAATACGTATTGAGAAAAGGACAGAAGAAAACGCTATCTTTTCATGATTACTGTGTATACATATGATGATAGTGTGTATACATTACAAACTTGGCATAAATACCATGATAAGAAATTAGATAAGGCAATTATTACTTATCACTCTCATTCAAAAGTATATTGAAAAGATAGCGTTTTCTTCTGTCCTTTTCTCAATACGTATTTCAATGTTTAATACCGTAAAATAGTACATGAAAATTCAAATTTTCACAAACTTCAAAACGCTACAGAATATTTACTACTGAATATTAATAAGATATTTTTTTACTAAAATTTTTCTTAAATTCTACTCTACAAAATAGCTATCTTAGATTTTTTTTTTACATTTTATTTAAAATTTAAAAATAATTAATATTTTTAATAAAATGTAAAAAAATTAATTATTGAGATATAGCTATAGACCTAACGTCTAACTAATATTTAAAAAAAAAATCAGCTAAAAATATTAACTGGATCAAAAGTTATTTAAGTTGTCAGTGAGTGGTGGGCCACCCTGTATATACTGGGAGGTTTTTTTATCATAACCCACTCAATTACTTACAGAATAAATATATTTAAACATTTTTTTTTTTTTGTTATCTTTAGTTACACATTATTCTTGAGTTATTAACTATGTAATACTTTTTAAGATCATCTCTTATGCCTTGTAAGGGTGTTAACTTTGTATTTTTAAATAGAAACATATATTTTGAATTTAATAAAATTTTTGTGTTTTTATTTATTAGTAAATGATATTTGAATAATTATATTTATGACATCGATATTCGCAGATACACAGCATTTATTATCAATGGTAATAAGGCACATTGTTGTGAGTTTTTAAATACACAAACTAGCAATATAGTAAGTATATTTATTGATAGTCATAATTGACAATAAACACTCAGTGACTGTGACAGCGACGTCATAAAAAACCTATTAGCTACCTGTCCTGTATTTGTAATGCCTCGGGTATTAAACATGTATATTAACTCAAAAATTTGAAACTTTAAATGTTTATATCTAATAAACTAATAGTTATATTAAAAATTCAAATGTTATTTACTATTAAATAAAAAGTCAAACATTTTATTAAATTAAAAATATGTGTTACCATTTAAAAAAACAAAGTTGAAACCCTTACAAGGCACAAGGGATGATCTTAAAAAGTATTACATAGCTAATAATTTGAGAATAATGTGTAACTAAAGAAAACCAAAAAAAAAATGTTTAAATTATTTTTATTCTTCAAGTAATTGAGTGGTTTAAGATAAAAAAATCATTCTGTATTTATTTCTGTATATTTGTTAACACTCCTCTCAAAATTATAAATTTGATTTTTTTTTTAATAGTTACTTTGTTGTATTATGTTTTCTTTGTACAATACTCCAATATTTTCAAAGCATTCATTAATCACTTCTAATTGACCTAATATTGATAAACATACTGTTATTAAAATTATATCTGCGGTTACGGCAAATAACCAGTAAATAAAAGCATATAAAAACTCGATTAAGTGAAAAATTGGAAAATATGTATTATATGTATCTGCTGAAACGAAAAAATACAAATTGTAAACATTCAAATGATAACTGCTGTATGAACCATCATGATTTTTTGCTATTACATAACAATTATTAAAAACATATCCACTTAACGACCAAATTAGTACTAACAATAAAGTCATTATTGGAATCAAATAGGTATATTTTATTGATATGGCTCGCCAAATAATCAGAATATTCTTATTATAATTTTCAATAGATAAGAACTCAAAATTAGTTATTTTTAAGATATCCCAAATAACTTCAGAATCTTTCATAATTAAATATATTCTGTAGATATTAAAAAGCATATTCTGTAATACAACAAGCTGTAATACAAATTGATTTAAATCATTTTTCCAGTGGTACAATCCAAATACAAGGCACACCGATATTGCTACAATGTAAATAATACCCAGTTTCACCATAAAACAAAAAAATTTAAGACTTCTTTCCGATTTAGGATTTAGAATGTAGTAGTAACCAAGAAATTTTGCCAATCGTATATTAAAAATCGTATTTTCATATTTATTTATATCCTTCATATTTTCTTTTCAAAATTTCTGCAAAACAAATGTACTGTAATTATTTTTAATAAAATGCATCACTACATCAGTTTTGTACATTTTAAATGAAATGTAAAAAAATCGGTGTAAATAATATGAAATGATTTGTTTTCTATTGTATAAAGCTGAAATAATAAAATAAAATTGTTCGTTAACAATACGAGCGCTAAAAATTCAATGTTCATCAATAAATAATGTATTATTATAAAGTAAAATATTTTATTAAAAAAGTGAAATTTGAACTATAGTACCAATATAATTTTTTCAGGTTTGGTATAAAATGTACAAAATTAAATAATTTACAGTAAAAAAAATAATTATTGATTGTCTATTACATTACCACTGCAAAGTTAAATTTCTGTTATTAAGCTACACATTTGATAAGTAAAATCAAAAACAGACTACCCTAAAAATGTTTTGAATAAGTACCTAACATCGCTAAGCCAACTTTATTATATAAAGTGGGTGACAGTAGTGTCACCTGGCAACAAATAACTACCATCTGGTGGTAAATGATTGAATCTTTTTTTACTGGCAAAATAAAATAAATATTTTTGATTAATATTTAAAATTTGAAGAATTTCCGGAGGATTCATTTTTATATTTACCAGAGCCAATTAATCAGTTTATAACGAGTTATACTGGATTAGCATTACCGAAAATAAATCTATTTCCGATTTTTTTTATAAATCTATTATATTTAAACTTTTTTTTGTCACTAATTACAATTTAAAATTAAATAAAAATGTAAAGAGCATTATTTAAAGTATTCCAGTAAATTGGCCTAGAGTATAAAGTTTTATTTAATGTAAGTTAGATTCGTGTAAATTTTATGACAATTGGTTGACTCATTTTTATGAGAAAATCTTATAAAGTATTTTAAAATAAACAAAATAAAAATAAAATTTGAACACAAAAATAGTATGTTTTTAACTAAGGTAGCCATTTGCACGTACAAGATAAGACGTCAAGAGAATTTTTTTTTTTTAATTTATGGTACGTAACATTTCTTTAATTTAAAACATATATTTAAAAGATGCAGTTTTCCGGAACATTATCAAAACTTAAGTTGAAATAGTTGACTTTTGTAAAAAAGTTGCTAATTTGAATCCCTCCTGTGTGCAGGTAAATGTTCAGATTATTAAAAAAATATAACAAATGAAGAGGAATTATGTAAGGTGTTTTTATAATAAAAATATTTTGGTTATTTTTTTCAAGATTTTTCAAGTTGTGACAAATTTTAGAGAAAAAAATGTCAATATTGAACGATTTTATAAATCGTAATTTTTGGGGGATTTTTACTATTTACGGAGAATAAGGGAATATTTTTCAATTTTATATGTCTACAGACATTTTTTTTGGTTATAAGTGAATAATTTCCATCATAACTAATATATTATAATAGCGTTTGAATTTTATGCGCCAAATCAATGAACTCACCAAGCTTTCCATGTTTCTTTTATCGATACATAAAATAAAAATATCACTGTTTGGAGGAACTACTGTAATTTCTTTTTTATCGCTTGAATTTCAAATGAGCGTATATCGTTTAGAATTTCTATAAATAATTTTTTTTTTTATGACAAACAAGAATATATAAAAATAATATGGGTTACATTTAAAAATCAAAAATTGTTACTGTAGCACTATTAGTTTTGAAAATATTACGTGAAGCTTAGTTAGCGGTTCACTCTATAAGAAAACTGATATAGCCTCTGGAAAAAGAAGTAGTTTTTAAGAAGTGATGTTCAAACAATTTTTAAGGGTAATGTCTTCAACTAATTTCTAACAAAATCTATTAGCAATGAATACATAACGTGACAATGAATATAAAATCCAATCTTTGGTAACATCATAACTGTCATGATATATACAGAGTGATTTTTTTATCATAACCCACTCAATTACTTACAGAATAAATATATTTAAACATTTTTTTTTTTTTGTTATCTTTAGTTACACATTATTCTTGAGTTATTAACTATGTAATACTTTTTAAGTTCATCCCTCATGCCTTGTAAGGGCGTCAACTTTGTTTTATTAAATGGAAACACGTATTTTTAATTTAATAAAATTTTTGAGTATTTAAATTAATAGTAAATAACTTTTAAATTTTTAATATAACTATATTCGTACGTGCAAATACGTACAAGATAAGTCGTCCGGACAATTTTTTTTTTTTAATTTATAGTACATAACGTAAGCTTTAATTTAACATATGATCTAAAGACGCAGTATTTCCGGAACATTTTCAAAACTTAAGTTGAAAAAGTTCTACTTTTTAATTGTATTTTTAAAAATTTAGACCCCTCCTGTATAATGGAAAATGGTCCGATTAAAAAAAAAGTACGTCAAATAAAAGAAATACACTTAAAGTATTTACAAGAAAAATTGTATTGATCCATACATTTTTCAAAAATTTATAGTAATTTAAAATTGAAAAAAACCCATCAAAGGGGGGTCGCGGCACAGTGGTGAGTAATCAAGTATAATTTTTATAATCAAGTATAATGATATCCGACAGTGATTAAAATCACTATAAAAAAAAATGCTTCGATGAAAATCTTTAGATAGTGTTTAATTTTAAAAAATTAGTGGATTAATCCAAAAGCTACATGATCTGCTATTTCCTTATTAATATCCTGATTAAGATAAAGTATATCGAATGAAAAAAGGGATATGTATATTATTTCTCAAAAAAAATTGTGTTGATCCATACACTTTTCAATAAGTTATAGCATTATTAAGTTAAAAATGTAAAAAATAAAATCGAGAATTTTCACACAAAAATAGCATTTGGTAGCCATTTTCACTATGAAAACAAAATAAAATCCGAAATTTTTTTTTCCATAATAAAGTACATTACATTAGCTTTAATTTAAGATATATATAAAAGTGTCAGACTTTCCGGAACATTTTCAAAAGTCAAGTTGAAAAAGTTAATTTTTTGTGAAAAAATTGTCATTTTAAATCCCTTCCTTTGGGCAGGTAAAGTGTCAAATTTATAAAAATAAAATATATCAAATGAAAGGTAATGATATCATTAGTGATTTTTAAATTTGTAATTTTTTTGGAGATTTCCCCATTTACGGGGAANAAATAAATATAGTTTAAAAAACTAAAAAAACACGCTTTTAAAGCACATCGAACTAAAAAGTTAAAAATAATTTTTAAAATAATTATGAACAAAAAATACTAGTTTTATTGTGAGAAAAGCGTGGGTGCTTTGTGTCACATTTTTCGTATATTGAGCGCCCGACGCTTTTATCACAATAATACTAGTATTTTTTGTTCATAATTATTTTAAAAATTATTTTTAACTTTTTAGTTCGATGTGCTTTAAAAGCGTGTTTTTTTAGTTTTTTAAACTATATTTATTTAATAAAAATGCTAGATGGACGTTATTCTGGGAAAATTATTCGCGATTATGAAAAATTTTTTTTTACACACACCGGAGTATTAAAAATTTCATTAGAAACGCTATTTGTCGCTAGCGTTTCTTGATTTAAAATCTGAACTTTTTATTAGGCCTACCTTGATATTTTATTATTATTTTTTATAATTAACAAGGCAATTCAGTAACAAAGTAGCCCAGTAATTTATATTCATTTTAGTCATCATATTTAACAATATCAGGTGATATATTTCAAATATTAACGTTATAATATCCAAAATAACTATTTAATTAATCTAAATTAATAAGCTAAAGTTTTTAATTATTCTAAACTAATAGCACCATAATTAAAGCAGTCTCACATTGACAATTTTGCTTTATTTTTCGGTACGTTACATGTTGGGCTTTTAATTCATTCCTTTAAGTCTATCATTATAAATATTTAATATTAATATACAGTTAAATAATTAAAACTGTTAATATCGGTTAATAATTGGTTTTAATCCTTAAAATTGACAAATCCAATAATATTTTAAAGAATATACGGCATATATTCAGTTTCGATTTTTAAAATTAACGCAAACTCTGTAAAAATACTACAAATACGCACCTATACGTTAGTATGCCATTGAATAAATAAAAATTACTACCCACTTCATTTTGTATACAGAGTCATTGTTTTATCATAAACCACTCAATTACTTACAAAATAAAAATAATTTTAACTTTTTTTTTTTTTGGTTACCTTTATTTATATATTATTGTTTAAATTAATATTTATACTTTCAAATATTTGTTTTAAAGTTATTAATGTTTTAAACAAAATAAATTTAAAAATATATCTAACAAGTAAAGTATTTTATAAAAAAAAAATTATGTTATCATAAAATCTGACGCTGTTTTCTAAGATATGATTGAATTTCAGATTATAAACTTGCAGAGAGATTTCAAACAGATATAATTTAGTAGTAATAAATGTATTAATCAAAAAGCATAACTTTTAACTATAAAATATATTATATTTCTTAATCGAAAAATGTAATAATACAATAAATTTAGTTAGTTTTGTAATTAATAATTTATTAAATGGCCATAAAATAATAAATCTGGTATAATTATCGTACTTGCCATAAAAAAATTAACTTTTATTATTATAATTTTTTTTTTTTGAAAGAATAAAATAAAAATAAACAAAATCAGTTATGACGCATTTTTAAGACTTTTACATGTTTTTACTGTTGTAGTGACTCAAAAAGAACTCACACTTGTAGTAGCTTAAAAGAAAGAATTAAATAAAATAAAATATGAAGGGGTATTGGGTACTTGTTTGAGTCACTAATCTTGTTGTATTAACCCATCAACGCCTGGCGTCCCCATATGGTGACATTCGTATTGCTATTTTTATCGCGCGTTCTTAGAATAATAATTTAATAGGTAAAAGCCGAGTGTACCCATATGATGACACTCAATATCTCAGAAATCGTATTTTCAAAAAATTTAAAAATAATTTTTTTTTATTTTTGTGTTGTATATTAATCTGTTTTTAGTAAAAAAAAAATAGAAAGTTTGAAAAAAAATAATTCTCGGCGTTGATGGGTTAATAATATTATTACTTGGGGTATGAGTACGAGGGTCTGTAACAAAGATAGAGGATGATAATAAATCTCATATTAATATGAGATTTATTGTGTTTATTGTCAATTCATTAATATCAATAATGCCACGAGTTTTGGCGGTTATCGATGATAGGTGGGATTGAGTCACCTCGTGTGTCTACCCAGAGTGGTATGGTATATGAACCTCCAACCTAACTTCTGAAATAGACACGTATCAACGATATAACTCTGCCAAGTAACTCTGTACAAACATTATCGATTTTCTAAATTTACTTGGTATATTTATTATTATCGATAATAACTTGATTTTCCTGTATGCCTACTTAATCTATGTACTCATAAAATTTATTAGTGAAATTATTAGTTACCTACCTTGATATTTTCTTTGACACTTTTAAATAAATAGATATTGTATTCTTGTACAAATATAATTGTAGAAACGGCGGATCACTTCTTGCATATATTTCGTTATGAAAGTGTGGACTGATTGAGCGTAGTAAGTGTCTGAATAACTGACCGCATCTAAGCAAGTGAGAGCATTCTGACCACCATCAGGACATCTGAGCCAGAATGCTTATTATTTTGGGCTTTTTATATTAATTTTGATGGTATTTCAAAGACAAGAAGTGATCACCGACGCTACCATTATTTCTTTATTAATCGTAGTTTATTACATGTTATTTATTACATTATTATCAATAATAATCTACTTGAAGTTATTATTTTTAAATTCATTGTAAAATATCATTGAGTTTTACTTTCATATTTCTAAGATAAGCAAAAAAAAAAGTTATAAGACATAGTAAAGTTCTTTCTGTTAAATTTCCCTCTTCAACTCAACTTAATAGGTCCCGGGACACGGGTTAACCTGAACGGATCGGTCCCAAATTTTGCACAGTTTGTTTTTTTGAGCATTAAAAAAAAATTAAGGGGTAGCGAAAAAAAAAAGACATTCGATTTTTGAGGGCCACCCTAATGTGTACATATCAAGTCCAACACTCTCTATATACATTGTAATTGTGCTTTTAATATTTAATAAATGTAAATATTACAAGCCTATTATAGTTTACAATATAATTTTAATACTTGTTTCATGCCTATCGAAGGCATTGGTTTTGGCAGTCGAGTGACCAGTTCTTATCGACTATCTTTATCAATACACGCTGTAAAAACAGTTGTTATCAGTATAACGGTTGCGTTTAGTTTTAAGTAGTTTCATCGTAATATTAATAAAATTTCTTATAATTTGTGGATGGATGTGTTATGACATAAACATTGTATTTTATTATAATATTTTTATTTATGCTTATTTTGCACAGGTATGCATTTATTATTTTATTCTACTTAGATTCATTAAATATTACAACCAAAACATGTTATTACTTAAGTACATATCTTAAAATATGGAGTGTAAATCAAGAACAAATTAACATACACGATATCATATTATTTAATATGACTTAATTTTTTAACAATAGTAACATTTAAAAACCTAAAAGAGTGTTAATCATCTTTAACATTTGTCACTAATTGATGTGTTGCATTGGGTTTTTTATTTTATGTAAAAATTTATACCAATGAACGAAAATAATATTTCGGAAAGTTTGTACTTTTAAAATTATGTTATATCTATTGGTAAACTCTTCCACTTTTTTATAGTAATCTTTAACTCTGTTGTTTATTTGAATGTATATTAACTTAAATATACTTGATATACACAACACAATATACATTATTACAAATATAAATATTGACTTAATCTATTTTAGACCTTAATATGACGAGAAAGTGTAAGCATTTTCAAAATCTTTCTAAAAGAAGTCAATGTAGGCGCATTAAAGAAGATTTTAGTAATATAAATGAGTTAACTGAGAAGGTAGCTTTATCTGATAATACAATTGTTAGGAATAAAAATATACCAAGTGCTAATAGTTCTGAATTACAGATCTCAAAGTAATTGAAGGAAAACTTGAAGATCCTAAGTATTATCATAAATGGGTAATTAATATAAAAATTATTTTTAATTCTTAAATTTTACAAATATTTTAAATAAATTGCAATTGGTATCTACATTATCATTTAGCTTGGAAGGAATTAACAATTCGTCAAAAATCACAACAAGAATTATGAATATTTGTGAAATAATATATTATATTTAATATATTATGAAATTAAAAATAATTTTATAAATGTATAAAATTAAAAATACATTAGTTTTAAGACTAATATAAATTTGTTATTCATTAAGTACTGTAGTACAATTTTTATATAACAATCTAATTTAACAAACTTGATATATTTTCAATAAAACCTTTTTATATACTTAAACATTTTAAATGAATTTGTTTGGTTTTATTTTTAGCTGTAATTCAAAACTATGGATAGCCCAAAGTAATGCATGATGGATAGGGTAACATATTAACAATATTTTTTATGCTTCATAATATAATCATAGTATTTATTAATGACTATTTTTTTGTATAGTAATTACAGGTTTACAAAATAAACCAAATGATGTGAATAAAAATAAAAAAGATTCTAAGGATTGTAATCCTACTGATAATGATAGTTTTGATGGCAATGTAAAAGTCAATAATTATTAAAATTTTTATGATAAATATAGGAACTATAATAAAAGTATAAATAATCTAACATATGTATGCATTACATACAGTAAGAGCAATGTAACATGTATATGAAATAAACAGGAAGTGTAATTCAAGATTACAAGAAAAACAATTTTTAGTAAGTACTTATATTAAAATGTTTGGTGTTTTTAAATGTTATTTTATAATTAGATAAAAAGTAATCAGTATAAATATAGTATTACTATAATACTCACTAATTTAATTCAAATTTGATTATTGAATAATATTGTAATATTATATTATTACATATAATATTAATATATAATAAGATGTTATCATTTGTTCATGTATGTCACATATTATGATTATACAAGATCACCAAAACAGGGTTCTCTTATTTAAAATACAAAATAACCCTTTAACTATACGATAAAATCTCCCTCTTGTAGAAATTATTAAGTAACGCCTACACGCAGGGACCCTCTTTTAATTAACCAATTACAATACAAAGCCTCAGCTTCTAGGATCACGGTAGAGATCGCTGGGCTACCCCCTTCACACTATAAAAAGCCATTTTTCCCCATCTAAACCAGTTCTTTTGACGATTTTAAAATACACAAAATCTACGACACTCTACTCAAGATTTCACTCTCCGGGACTTAGTCGATTTTTTAATTAATTTGGACTTAGAATATTTTTCTTTAAAACTAAATGACATTTAGAAATTTTAAAGTGAATTTTGTTTTGGTGAATCTTTTAATTTAATTTAATTTGTTCAATCATTAATAATATTTTATTTTTCTTGTTATGAAAATAAACATCAAATAATATTTTAAACACTATGAAGAACCCACAATAATATTCTTCTCGGGAAATACAGATGAAGCCATTTTAATTAACCTGGGTCTTAAGGGAATAAACACTTTGAATATAATAGTTAAAAAGTATGACAAACACATCGAAAAATTTCTCATATCAAACTCAAACAATGATAGTCATACAATAATGGAAGAATGTAATGATGAAATATTAAATAATGAATTCTTTATATCCCTTGAAACTTTAACACCAAAAGGAATTTCTTCCAAGATCTTAGCTGTTGTAAAAATTCCGTATGTTCAGAAAGTAGGGAATTTGTTAGGCTTGTCAGATACCCATAATTTAATATGCGGGAAGAAACATCTATCACATGGAGAGCCACATGACCCATCATTTGATGTGATCATGACAGATTGCCTCCTGGCATACTTAGCGAAATCCGTTGGATATAGCGAATTAAAACAAATTATTTGTTCCCATTTTTCGGAAAATAATAACAATAAATGCTTCTAACAATTAATACATTTAAAAGTAATAAATCTACATTAACAAATAAAATTTATTAAAGAAAATTGATTTCACTAGTATACTTAACATTATAAATTAGTTATTTCATTTTTATTTTATTACTTTTATTATTATGTCTTTATATTTTTTAAATATAATCAATAAATCAAAAAAATAAATAAATAACATTATTTTTTTATCATTATTTACCTTAACATTATAAGATTTTCTACAAAAAAAAAAAAATAAAAAAAAAAACAAACAAACCCAAATTTTTATATCACTTTTATTACTACTCTTATTATTTAGCGTAAAAAGTAGAATTAAATTTAATAATTAATATAAATATTTTTAGTTTAGAATTAAATACAATTATTAACAAGGATAGGAATGAATTAATATAAAACATTTCTCTTAATAATTTTAATCATAATTCATATATCACCTACTTATCCGTTTATTTAATAAAGTTATATCAAATATTAATATTTTATATATATTATTTTATCTTTGCATGCTTTTCTTTATTTACTATAAATATTACCATGTCCAATATATTACAATTAACACTTTATTCATATATATTTTGCTTTTTCATTCCTACATGAAGATTTAAAAAATCAAAAACAAGATTTTTTTGAGAACACTATTTCTTTATCAAAAAATATTGTAAGTGCTATATTATAATATCACCATATCTTAAACAAAAAATGAGTATTAATGTTTTCATAGCGTCATTCACAAATTGTGATGATGATACAATGATAACAGGGGGAGCTATTAAGGAAACTATCATGAACTCCCCTATTCATATCCTAGAGGGAAACAATCTAACAATTAGGAATATAAAAAACATCATTACAGGCAGAGAGGGTATCCCTATCACTATACACTATGGATATTCTGGCAACAACACCATTCAGAAATGTTATGGATTACCCATGAATAATATCTATATCATAGCTAAAAGAATGTTTATGTCACAATTTTTTTTCTTGCATCTATACAAAGAGCAAGAAGGAATAAGGACAAAAATTCTTCTAGCTAGATTACGTGGACCAATTTACAGTGAAAATTGTGAACTCACAATTGAGGAGTCACATTCGTTAATATGCAAACGCCCACATCCAAAAAATAATTATGCTGAATACAACGTACAAATGACCGACTGCTTGTTACTATACATTGCAATGTCAATGGGTCGTGTCCATTTGTTAAATTTTCTTAAATCACAATTTAGCAAATAAAAAGATATGGTGATTTTATTTTTAATTCTTATTTTAATTATTAAATATATTTTATCATTACTAATTACTAACCAATTCAAATGCAAATTATTATAATTTACTTATTAGATTTAATTATGCATGATATATAAAACTTAAAAAAAAAAAAAAAACAAAAAAAAAGCAAATTACTATTTCATTTCAAAATGCATGCTATTATTATCATTAAATTTTTATTATTATTTTATACATTAGACAATATAATACTAACCCTAATTTTATTGCATGCTTAACCTTAACACTAATCATTACAGGATGTAATTCATCAACATGTAAGTTAAAAAAAATATACTATCTAATAAAATTATACATTAAACTTAAAGACTTTTTATATTATTTCTATATTCAAGTTTAAATTTTTATATTAATATCAATCTATAAGTCTATTAATTTATAACTTTTACATATTATCTTTAATTATAATTTTAATTGATTTACAAATATTTCATTAATTTAATATTAATTTTTATATTATNTCATTCACAAATTGTGATGATGATACAATGATAACAGGGGGGGCTATTAAAGAAACTATCATGAACTCCCCTATTCATATCCTAGAGGGAAACAATCTAACAATTAGGAATATAAAAAACATCATTACAGGCAGAGAGGGTATCCCTATCACTATACACTATGGATATTCTGGCAACAACACCATTCAGAAATGTTATGGATTACCCATGAATAATATCTATATCATAGCTAAAAGAATGTTTATGTCACAATTTTTTTTCTTGCATCTATACAAAGAGCAAGAAGGAATAAGGACAAAAATTCTTCTAGCTAGATTACGTGGACCAATTTACAGTGAAAATTGTGAACTCACAATTGAGGAGTCACATTCGTTAATATGCAAACGCCCACATCCAAAAAATAATTATGCTGAATACAACGTACAAATGACCGACTGCTTGTTACTATACATTGCAATGTCAATGGGTCGTGTCCATTTGTTAAATTTTCTTAAATCACAATTTAGCAAATAAAAAGATATGGTGATTTTATTTTTAATTCTTATTTTAATTATTAAATATATTTTATCATTACTAATTACTAACCAATTCAAATGCAAATTATTATAATTTACTTATTAGATTTAATTATGCATGATATATAAAACTTAAAAAAAAAAAAAAAACAAAAAAAAAGCAAATTACTATTTCATTTCAAAATGCATGCTATTATTATCATTAAATTTTTATTATTATTTTATACATTAGACAATATAATACTAACCCTAATTTTATTGCATGCTTAACCTTAACACTAATCATTACCGGATACAATTCATCAACGTGTAAGTTAAAAAAAAAAACACTATCTAATAAAATTATACATTAAATTTAAAGACTTTTTATACTATTTCTATATTCAAGTTTAAATTTTTATATTACTATTAAATCTATAAGTCTATTAATTTTAATATTAATTAATTTAAAATATTCTATTAATTTATAACTTTTTCATATTATCTTTAATCATAATTTTAATTGATTTAAAAATATTTCATTAATTTAATATTAATTTTTATATTATTTTTAATTCTAATTTTAATTTATTTATAATATTGCATTAATTTCATTATATCTAATCATCATATTTAAATATACAAGGTAAAATTTCTATGTAAGAATTCAATGTCAGTAATTTATAAGAACATATTTTTTTTTAATTTTATGTATAATTGTTAACCTAAAACCATGAACATCAAATTCTGAACATCAATAATTAAACTCTGTACTCACTTTCCTAGGCAAAATTCACATTGGATAATGTCGTCAGATGTACCAACATTTGTTTACAATGACTCAACCATCAATAAATTCATGGAGCTCATAGTCAAAAGATCTCAATCACAAATATATGCATTTGACACTCTTCTCCTTCTAGAAATTAAAAGAAATGGGTTTGAAGCAGTCCATCGACGAATAAGAACCAATCTATTTGAGAAAACACTTCTTCTCGCCCCGTTTCATGACAACAATCATTATTGGAATTTAGCAATTAGTCATGTTTATAATAAAGAGATAATACTACATAATTGCACAAACTACATCATCACTGACATGATAGAGAAATTACGTCAATTTATCATATCATGTGAACTCAAGCAATATGGTTTAAATTCTCATTGGCAAATTTATAAGGGTGAAACAACAATATTAGATGATAATCATAACTCTGGTCCATGGATTCTGGAGATCGCTGAGATAATCTCTAGAAATGATAATCCACTGATCAATCTTTCTCTTATGAAAGATTATATTAAAAAACATAAACAAATACTAGAAGAAAACATCCTACACCTTTATCATGATCCAGTACAGTTCTCCAATCCACCACCTCTAAGACCACCAACGCCAACCGGTATCAAAGTAATACAAATAGATCACTCAAAGAAGAAGACACTAAAAAACAAACACAATAAATATTTGAAGAATTTAAGAAAGAAAACCAGATATAGAAAATACTATAAATACATTAATATGAAAAGAGAATTACTATATAAACCTATTATGTTAAAAACACTAAAACCTAGGAAAACATCTTATTCAACATCTCAAGAGAGAAAAAACGAGATGAAATCCAGTCAATGAATGTGGTCCAGGAAAGTAGTACAATAGTAATAACCACNGGAAAGTAGTACAATAGTAATTACAAAAAAAAAAAAGAAAATCAAATAAGAAGAAAACAATCAAATAGTAGGAATAATCACTTTAATATCATTATTTAAATTTGTTAAAGTAATATTGAATATGCTTCACTTATTAACACAATTCATTATTGTTCAATAAAATTACTTATATGATGTTATTTTATAATCAACAAAAATTATAGGAATAAAATATTGTATTACCAAATTCTATCTTATTTGTTATAAACAAGAATATATATAACGCATTTAAGATTGCAATCTTTAATTTACAATATGTCAACAATTATATAATAATATCAATGTAAACCTTGTATAATTTTAATTTACTTAATCTTATTGTTATTATTATTAATAATTATATTTCATAGAGTAAATTTTATTTAATATTAATTCCATATATTTTTTTTAATCTAAATTTTTATTTTATCATATTATATTCATAACCACCTGTATTTATATAGAAACATTTTAGGATATAAGATAATCATGTTTTAATTCACCTTTACCTTATTATTTAAGTTAGGATAAGTGTCAAATTAGCCAAGTTAACTCATGAATAGTAATAACTGTAATATTATTATAAGAACATACTTTAATTATTATTAATAAATTCGTGTTTTACATGATTGCTTACATATAATCATATAACACATGTATTTTTGGATTGTAAACATTACATTATAATATCACTGATAATATTGTCAACCTTATCAATCTGATAATCCAAATAATTATGTATATTTAGTAAAGATTATACAAACATTATTAAATATAAAATATTATATTCTTTGTAACAGATAAACAAATTAACAATAATAAATATGTATGATGTTAACTTGTAAGTTTTAAATAAATGTGAATTACTATTGATTGTACTATGATTATATGTTAAAATTTAAATAACTGTTTTCAGCTATCCAAAATAATTTTATTACAAATTTCTATTAATGTAAGAATTGTATTTTATTTATTTTACATTATTATTACTTTGAATCACTCTTGTATTTTATAATTATTATAATTCAAATTTATTTTATCTAACTTTTAACTTTAAATTTAATTTATATTCGTTCGTTCAGTATTTTAAATTATAGTTTTATTATTTTATAATCTTAAAGTATTTTTTAAAAGCCTCAATAATTATTATTTTTATTTAAAATATACTTATTTCATTTATCTATTTTATCAATACTAATATATCATTATATTTGATTTTAATATACTAACTTTTGAATAATTTTACTTTTACTAACAATTATTTTAATCTAATTTATAATTTTCATTTATAAAAATAAATTTTGACATTCCAATTCAATTTCTAATCACTTTATATTGCAATTTTACTACATTATAAGCACCTTATATTCATTTTTAACAATTTATTATTGCACTTATATTATAATTATTATATTAAACACAAATCTAATTGAATTATGCACCTTATATTTAAGTTTTATATTTAAGTTAAATTGAACAAAATGTCTTTGTTATTCTTTATGTGTGTCTATTTTGTCATACGAGGGCGTATGACAAAATAGAAAGGGGTGCATTTGTAATATTATAATATTAATATNTGTAATATTATATTATTACATATAATATTAATATATAATAAGATGTTATCATTTGTTCATGTATGTCACATATTATGATTATACAAGATCACCAAAACAGGGTTCTCTTATTTAAAATACAAAATAACCCTTTAACTATACGATAAAATCTCCCTCTTGTAGAAATTATTAAGTAACGCCTACACGCTGGGATCCCATTTTAATTAACCAATTAGAATACAAAGCCTCAGCTTCTAGGATCACGGTAGAGATCGCTGGGCTACCCCCTTCACACTATAAACCAGTTCTTTTGATGATTTTAAAATACACAAAATCTACGACACTCTACTCAAGATTTCACTCTCCGGGACTTAGTCGATTTTTTAATTAATTTGGACTTAGAATATTTTTCTTTAAAACTAAATGACACTTAGAAATTTTAAAGTGAATTTTGTTTTGGTGAATCTTTTAATTTAATTTAATTTGTTCAATCATTAATAATATTTTATTTTTCTTGTTATGAAAATAAACATCAAATAATATTTTAAACATTATATATTTTTTTTTAAATTATTTTATTTTAACAATAAATCCAACCTTAATTTAGATATTCGTTTAATAATAAAAATTTATTGTGAGCTTTTCTTATTGGGTAGCTAGTCTCGTTGCTAATGTCTTTGTTTTAATAAACATCGCGCCGGCAGACAACACAGAGAAACTTACGAATATATTTGCAGTCTTGCAATTTTTGTCTTGGTTATTATTGTGCCGCATCCTTTCAAGGTGCTTTATTTTAGCACCGGGACACATTGGGCCACCACAATTCTGCCTTGATAAATTTTTTACATAGATATAGATATTTCTGAATCTTGTTTTGGCCAGGCCAGAGGAAAATTTAAGAAATATTGGTATCGATCTCTCAATAAAAAAAATACTTATTCAATAAACGTAAAAAAATCAATAAGTAAAAAAATCAAAATTGTTTTTATAATAAAATACAGAGTGTTTAAAATCTTTTACAAGTAAGATCAGTCTTAGACTTTGTGTAATTAAATCATATTATTTAAAGTCTAGAGTCGTTTTTTGTAATCAATTATATAGACTATATGACATAGTGTAAATCGTATACGTAGTGCGTTTAATACGGAAATCAACACTGGATTACTTAAAATATTATTGTATTACACAGGACGTAAGGTAAGTACAATTTAACCTATGCTTTCGAACTTCCAACAATCTATTGCATGATAAACCATTAATAATTAATGAGAGAAACAATTAATGAGAAAATTAATTTAAATAAAATTGAAGACAATTAAATCTACATTAAAATTACAAAAACTTATAATAAATAATGATTATAATAATTTACTAAGCACCCCTAATTTCTTTTTATATTCTCTCTCTTATATTCTATCTCTTTTTTTTCTTTTCTTTCTTTTTATTTTTGGTTTATTACAATATTAGACTAATTAAAAAGCCTCTACAAATACAAACTTTAACTATAACTGTAGTTAAAACTTATGAGTCATAGTATGAAAATTTGGGAAAAGGTAATAGAAAAAAGAATAAGAAATGAGACCAACGGTATCTAAAAACCAGTTTGGCGAAAGCTTATTATAGAGTACTGAGAGAGAGATTTTAAAGTGGGCATTAATGCGAAAAGGAGTCCTGAAAAGTTACATTAATATAGTAGAAGATATTTATAATGGCACTTGTACTAGGTTAAAAAACATAGGAGGAGTAACAGAAAGTTTTCGAGTAAGAGTGGGAGTGTACCAAGGTTCTGCTTTAAGCCCTTACTTATTCTCTATAGTTCTCTGTTGCATGTATATTGTATACATTTTCTATTAGTTGTACAATATTATAAAATTAGTTATTTTTTATTGATTCATTTATCTTACTCAACTTATCTGTTTAAGGTTGGGTTTATCAATTTCAAATATAAAACTTTCTCCTTGTTGAGCATCAAGTTTATAATAATCAAATTTTGATCCTTCATAATTAGGATTTTCACTTTAAAATACTTCAAACATGGCTGATTGCTTTTTAAGAAATATTGAATATCAATTAGTTTTTAAAATAATAAAATAATTTAAGTTAATCAACAAGTAAAAACTAGTACTTTTACCTACAATTAAATTTGACTTGTAATAAACTCTTTAAAAATGCCAAGTTATTGTTAAATATTTTATGTTTCTAATCTTAAAATTGATTATTGTGTCTACAAAATGTAGTAAATAAATCGATATCTCATAATATTTACAGAATGGTTTCTAATATTTGACCATTTTATTATCCATTTATAATGAGACATTTTTTCAGGGATAATTAAGATTAATTACGATATATTATATTGATATATGATATATGCAACATTTTTAAATAAATATAATACAAATGTTTAAATTAAATAATCTAAAAGTAATTGTTTTATTATATTATTTTATTTAAACTTTAAGATGTCCAATATACCAATGTTGTAATTTCAAATGAATTGCCCTGTACATGCTCCATAAAAATGATAAAAACAAGTTTTGAAAGCATCAGCTCATGTTTGTATATAAAGATTATTAATCTATAATGCTGTTTCATAGTGTATGAACATTATCAGCTAAGATAAAATTTGACAAACAATTTAGCTTGTAATACATAACATTAAAAATATATACTAGTTTAAAAATAGTAACTTTATTTTCAGTCTAATTTTGTAGTATAATGATTCTTAATATTTGTGAAACAATTAAATTTATTCTATAATAAGAGTATTTAAATCTAAAAAAAAGAACTTTATGAATACATGAATCGTATTTAAAATAAACTTAGTATAGTGTTTCATTAATTTATACAATATAGACTAGAAAATAAAGAATTAATAAATAGTACTAGTATCATAAAAATGTCAATGTTTATCATGAATTTTTAAATAATGTATTTATGGCTATAAATAGGTACTAGATAGGTCACTGGAATATAACAGAATACTTGCATTTTTGAAAATCATTAAAAGTTTTAATAAACATAATATATACACAAAAATATAGTATTTTTTCAAATTAGTATAATTTCAACAATTATTTTATTCCTTAAAATCTTTCTTTTTAATATTATTTAATTTTGTCTTATATAAGTATTAAAAAGCTGACATGTTTAAGGGCTTTTTATTGAGTATAGTAAAAATGCAAGACAAGCTGCTAATTTATACAACATTGAGAAAGACAGATGAATTTAATAATTTAAAAAACCAAAAATGACCATCTGTATCAGTTGATGAAGTTAATTAAATTAATGTTTTGTCATATTTTCATTATGTAAAATTGCTAGTATGTCTAAACGATAATAAAGTTTTCCTGAAATAAAATACAATTAACTCTTATTCAATACTTCGTTCCAATTTAAACTAAGAATATTATAAAAATAGTATTTAGATAA